TATCGGATACGTATCCAATTCATTATCCCATTAGAGTTTCTGACTACGTTTCAGGGGGCTAAGTGTAATTATCGATACCACAGAGACCTTACAGTTATTTAAGCTTACCTCAGGGGGTGTGTGTAATTTACCCTAGAATTTAATGCAAAAATAAAATTGATAATATACATATTTCTAAGTCTATCACAAAATTCATAGTTATTGATTAAATAGTAGCTGCATTGAATATAGTGTGGATTTTTTTTTTTTTGTGGTGAAAAGTAGTATTATAATATTTTTCTGTGCATAAAAGTATAAGAAATTATAGTAAGTGATGTCATGCGTCTTGGCGAATGACGTTATCAATATAAATGTGAAGACGACTTTAGGCCTCATTGGCATTTCGGAGCTCAGCCCAATATGGACCAAATTGAAACTTATTATTTTGGACTCCTCATAATTAAATACACTAATATATAAAAGGCCCAATCCTACAATTTAAGAGGCGTTGTGGGTTGGGAATTTACCAGTGTTCTAAAAATCGGTCGAGGCGGCCGATTAATCGGTCTTCGAGGTGGAGGCGGTCCAAAACCTTAATGATTTTAGTGTAAAGGTTTGAAAAATCGGTTTTTTGCTTGTGGGGCGGTTTGAGACGGTCCGAGGCGGCTTGAGGCTGTCTAACCTTTAAGGCGGGTCAAACTTCGGTGGCAAAAATCGGCAACAAATCGGTTTTTTTTTTTTTTTTCAAAATAAAAGTTGGAATTTTAATAAAAAAAAAATAAGATTTTATATTTATGTTTTATTTTGTTTATGTTAAGTATTATTGTTAAAGAACTAATGATGTATGCGAGGAATGTATGTAATTTCAAAAAAAAAAATTACCTTTCTATTTATATTTTATAAGGATATTATGTATTATGATTTTATAATTATTAATTTTTTTATTATGTTATTAGGATATATACATGATGGAGACATAATTATGTTTAAATATTTTTTTATCTATGTTTTGAGTATTTATAAATAATACCTATAAATATAGTATATTAAATTTTAAAAACCGATTTATTTCCAATTTATCACCGATTAATCACCGTCGTACCGATTAATCGTGAGTCGGTCCCTGACCGCCTCCTACCCGATTACCGATTTTTACAACCTTGGAATTTACCCTTCATTGCATGGTATAAATTACGGTCACCCCTGATAAGGTAAGGTTAAAACTTAAAACTATGGAAAAAACTCTTTCTTTTCAAATAATTGCGATCATCCCCTTAATTATGAATTATCTTACACGACCGTCTTTTGGTGTCAAATTTAACGTAATCTTCTAGATTATGTGGAATATTGTCTAATTTGTACTCGTTTTATGTAAAAGTTCAGTCTGATATTTACAAGTAAATAAACACACACATATTATGATCGCCTTGTTTCAAAATAATGAACTAAAAAAGGGTAAAATAAGTACAAACTAGAGAACATTACGCGAGAAGATTTATTGTAAGAATTACTAACGTGGATTCATTATTTCTTGTAAACTATGTTTTAGATATGAATAAATAAGTAGGAGTCCTTGCCAATTACCAACTATAATTATTAATTATACACAAAAAGACAAAAAAAAACAAAAAAAAAAAAAAAATCGTCATGATCACTACAAGTTAGATTGAAATCACTTGATAAAATAAACACCTTCACAACCAAATGTTGCAACTGGGAAGAATTTAATTAGTTCGCAATAAAATTCAAAAAATAAAAGTAAATTAAATAAAAATAAAACACTTAGATTGAGATAGAGACAAAAGCAAAACGTAATGACGCTACAAAATGTTTGTACAAATGCCAGGATTGTGCCACGTAGGACCGACATGTTTTTCGTGTTCGAGTCATCTTCGTGTGTATACCGTGTAACTGAATTTCTTATTTTTTTTAAATAAATATTGTTGCTTAATTTCATACCTTTTTCCAGAATATTAAATATCAATGTAGATGCAATCGTACTTATATTTTTAATTAATCTACATGGAATAATTAATTAATATTTAAATTAAAAGAAAATCGTAAGCTTATCACTTCCACCCCACCGAAAGGCAGTCCCCTACAAAAATCAAGATAATTAGATAAGGGTGTGATCAGTGGCGGATCTAGCTATGGTCTAGGGTGTGCAGCTGCACACCCTTGATTTTAAATAAATAATACTATTATACATATGTTGACAGAAAAAGTAGGTGGTTGAGGTGGTAAAGATATGCCTCCCTTTACTAACAGGTCACGGGTTCGAGCTCCACTCAAACATTTTGATTTCTTTTCCAAATCTTAACATTTTTCACCTTTTTGTTCCACTATTTTGATTTTTTTTTTTTCCAAATCTTAACATTTTCACCTTTTTTTTCTCATTAAATATTTCCACAATTCACCTAAAATTTTTACATTGTAAATTTTTGGTCCACAATTTTTATAAAATCTTAACATTTTCACCTTTTTTCTCATTAAATATTTCCACAATTCACCTAAAATTTTTACATTGTAAATTTTTGGTCCACTTGTCCACTATTTTTATAAAATCTTAACATTTTTCACCTTTTTTCTCATTAAATATTTCCACAATTCACCTAAAATTTTTAAATTGTAAATTTTTGGTCCACTATTTTTATAAAGTGATATTTAAATTTTTTACTCTACAATTTCGAACCCCCTTGGCAAAAATCCTGGATCCGCCACTGGGTGTGATTGATGCCTATGTCTAGGTAATTAGATAATTATATAATTATTTATTTATTTATTTATTTATTTAATTTTTGTATTGAAATTAGTATCTTTATGTTTATTTTCATTTAGATATGTTAAGTAATAGTAATTATATTTAAAAATACTACTAAATCTATAAAACCGACGTAGGATGTTGATGTGAAGCTGGGATATTTATTAGTATAATTATTATGCACAAGAAACGTCAAACTTTCATTGTCGATTTAGTGGAGTTTCTATACAAAAGATATTTGACTACTTATAAAATATCATCGCAATTAGACAATAATGCAAAATAATTTACGGAGAATAGTGCACGGAATTTTAAGAAAATAATATATGGCAAAATACAAATATTTAAAAAAAAAAATTATTTGTGGATTTTAATTACGATTTCAAATAGTAGTTTAAGTAAAATATAAGAACTTCATATTTAATTACTTCAATAAAAAAAAACTAAAAAAGCACTTCATATTTACAATTCCGTGTCATACTACAAAAAAATTTATATCTTGTGAATAATCATGTGACTAGTATTAATTATTTGTTCCTCTCAAAAAAAAAAAAGGTATTAATTATTTGAAAGACAAAGTATTAATTTTGAAGACAAAATTTGAAAAGCCACCACCAATTCCTCATGAAAAGTTTGACCACTAAATAAATTTCAGAAATAAAATGTGAAATGGCTGCCAATTTATGAATTCCTTCTCGAATACTCTTCCATGTTGTATCACTAACCTTTCATAGATAAATCGGAATCGCGAGGGCAAGTCATTGCACGATTGAAGTTGATTCGGTGGAAATTCCTCTAACGCTCAGGTCAGAAGTTGCCTAGGCAAGTAGAGCAGGTGATTAGTTGAACAGTACAAAAGAATAGAACGTAGCTTGTAGACTGAATGTGATTAGTAGAATCCTTATTAACATAAAATTCTAAGTATGATTAATAAACCGTAACGGGCTTATAAGTTCTTATTAATGGAATTGGGCCATTAATTAATGACTATGTAGATGGATCAGACCTTTTAGATGACCGGAATACTCATTGGCTTATTGGGTCGGTCCATTAAGGCATATCACTATTTAATTTAAGCAAAAAAATCAAATACTTAATCTAGTCACATGATTATTTAATATCTATTAATTCAAACAAAAACTAAAATATTTAATAATTTAAATAAAATGTCTCGAGTTTGAAATATCAAATAATTAATCTCGAATAATAATTTGTAGTTTTAAGATTTAATGCCAACTATGAAACATCAATATTTAAAAAAATAAAATCATTTAATCCTTGTGAGCTAAGATAGCCAGAATTGACCAAGAAAAATAGTTGGCGACTTCTAGAAGTTGGTCCAGTACTAATAACAATTGAAAAAACGAGCAAGTTGAAATACTGCATTGTTCTTCTTTTTTTTTTTTAATATATATTTATTTATTTATTCCAGTTAAATGAGTGGATAAATAACCATAAAAAAAAAAAACATTTTATTTTATTATTTCTGTATTCGAAATTTGCCATAAGAAAACAGCCCATGTTTTGAAGCTTATACTTTAGAGGGGTATAATGGGAAGAATATAGTTAGGCATTTGATTAATTGGAAAACAAAAATACTGCATCCAATCAACGGATAATTAACCTCCACGGAATCTGGCCCTAATTAAAACATTCAATTAATTACAAATTAACAATTAATTAATCTCATTAAAAATTGAGGAGGAAAATTGGGTAGGACAAAATGGGGCATGTGGTAACACATGGCTGCCTCGGGTCGGTTCCACCAGACCCGCTTCATTAGCCGTTAAAATATTACCGGTCTAAATTAAATCCACGCACCAGACTCAATTATCATTATTATTTATATATTTATTTTCCTGAGAGATTATTATCATTAATTAATTTCCTTAACCATGCAAATACTCGTCGGCTCTTGATTACCTAAAATAAACAAATACTAACATGATATGGTTTTGTTTTGTATGGTAGGAGTATGTCATCACATGGCTTACTAATTACCATTTTGTTCCATTTAATTTAATCAATGCTATTTATTCAGTATCTTAATTTACGCACAACCACTCAAAACGACATATAATATGACAGAGAGAATATATATTACGCCAATAATCTTCAACAAAACTCAATGTTGTTAGAACCGGACCGAACCGGCCGGTCGGACCGGTTCGACCGTGACCCGCCAATAAAGTGGTCCGGTCTAACATCTAACACCGGAAAAATTGAAAATCGGGGTCAAATGACCAAAATCCGGTTCGACCGGATAAAACCCGAGAACCGACGTGTCAGTCAAGGAACTCGGTTTTCGGCCAAAACGTCTTGAATCACCGTTGGTTGGTTATTTGTGGCTAAATTTGAGCGAACCTTCACAAACGTAGTAGTGGGTAGCCGGATCAAGTCATGAATGGTCGAAGGATTGTGGGATATGATCATGAGTGATGGAATAGGGCTGGCCGATTTCCGGATTTGAAGAATAAAAAATGGAAAAATATAGAGTATAAGTAATAAAATATAGTAAAAAGTGAGGTGAAGTAGATAAAAGTGAAAATAATAATTGGGAGATTAAAAATATAAAGGAAAAAATATTTTTAGAACATTAAAATTAATAAAATAATGACATATTAAAAAAAATCAAAAACTCGGTCAAACCGGTTCGATCCTATAAACCCATGACCCAAATGGTCGCCCGATTTTTATAGCCAGTACGATTCCGAAAACATTGATAAAACCTATCAGCAACGTAAATTCCAGATGATAAATATAAATCAACATTCACAAGTAGTTCTAGTATACAAAAGAGTTAAAGACAAAACCAAGAATTATTATTCGACTCCAAGATTATATTTTAGTACGGCCCATCATATTTAAGAATAAAAATAAAATACCACAATCCTTGTATTATTGAACCTCTGTATCATAATCAAACACCTTAATCATCATCATTAATAATAAACTCAAATAAAAAACACACTATTTTTTTGTTTGATTAATCTACCTAATTAGATTCGATTTATATGTCTTGTTCTTTGAACCCAATACCTTCCGCCCTACATTTAAATAAGTCATCCCCGGCCCAGAAAAGTTATTAGGTATTTACAGTTATAGTCCACTTTTCACAAAAAAAAATAAATAAATAAATAAAAAGAAGAGAGAGAAGGAAAGAAATCCTAGAGAGAGAAAGAAGAATCCTCCCTATTTGACCAACTACCTTCTGCGTATAAAATTCCAATTTCCCCAAATTCACAATTTATATTTATTTGCTTAATTTTAGTCAAAATTTCCAACGTTTTTTCGCCCTACCTTCCACTCACCTTCAAAACCCTTTATTTTCTTCTTCTTCTTCCTCTCAAACACACACACAAACACACAGAGAGAGTAGAGAGAGAAGAAGGTTTAGAGAGATGGGATTATTGAAAGACGAGAAAGCGTTGAAGAGAGTAGTAATAATCGTGTTTCCCAGATGGATCAAAACCCTGTTTTTCCTAATCACCATGTTCGTCTCTCTGCTGTTGTTCTCAGCCCCAATTCTACTAGTAATCGCCGACGCTCTCCTCCCCTCCGCCTTCCTCTCCGCCGCATTATCGCCGTCGTCGCTCAATCTCCAGACAATCACCTCGCACCTCAACAATTACGATTTCCGCTACTCACTCGTCGACATCCCCCTCGTCTCCATCATCCGCTCCGCCATCATATTCTGTAATTGATCTCGATCCCTTCCAAAAATTAATCTCTTTTTTGTTTTTATCATCAATAATAAATCGAAGCGTGTGTGTGTATATAAAATACTGATAATTAGGGTTTTTTGAATTGACAGGTGTGTACAGTCTGTGCGACGGGCCGAAGCTGTCGAGGGGGCCGTACTTGTGGATCGCCACCGTGTGCTCGGCGGCGTCGCTGGTGTTCGTGTCGTTGAAAGCTCCGTACGTGTTCATGACTAGCGGCGGCGGCGGCGGCGGCGGCGGCGGCTACTCGAAGGGAGGATACGCGAGATCAATGGAGGCGGCGCTGTTCGCATCGTCGCTGGGATTGGCCGTTGGCCACGTGGTGGTGGCTTACAGAACAAGTTGTAGAGAGAGAAGAAAGCTTCTCGTTTACAAGATTGATATCGAAGCTGTAAGTCAAATCTCACCTCGTCATAGGGGCTTTTTCGTCATTCCCCACTTACTTTTCAAAACACATAACTAAATCAAAATAAATTAAAAAAATATATATATATAAAAATTAACAAGACTAATTGAATATTATGACTATTCTGCAGGTATCCGCTTGCAAAAATGGCTTCCCTAGATACCAGAAAATTCTGCAAGAAGCAAGAACAAAGTGAAAAAAATAAATATAAAAAAAATGCATTTATATTTATATATTTTTGACAGAATACAGTTCTCCACCAATCAGGTTTCAGGTAAATTCCAACGCAGAATCTTTTAACTATCATTTACATTATTAATTATAAAATGAAAATTTATTTTTAAATGTATTTAATCAAAGTTATTTTCTCCAGATGTTAATCCAAAGGAGATCCATTTGTAGCTTGACGATGGCCGGGCCGATGAACTTAAAAGAGTTATACGGAAGAAAACGTAGATTAGGATTCGATACGAACATTTTTGTGTTACGTTATACGTATTATGTCTGTATATATAGTGATCTGTAAATACATATATATCTAGAGAGAGAGAGAGAGAAAGAGAGAGAGATTTGTATACATGTGAATTTGCAAGAACTGCTGCAGGTGTTCTCATTTAAATTAATTTGTGGGATAATGCTATGCTACCGCAGGGTTCGTTTATTCATGAAGTTATTCAACTGTATGTTTTGTGCATCAACTAACACTAGGTGATTTTGAATCGTATATTTGTATAAAAAACTATCACTAAGCTACAAAGTCGGAGTAACAATATGAAAAGATCAATAATAATTCAATATACGTATGCTAAAGTGACAGATGAATTCACCAAAACGGCAATTAATTTCTAAGAGAAGAAGAAATTTCATCAAACCATCCAAATTCTTATGTACTAATTACTACATGTCCAAAATTGGTTATTCATCTACCTACAAATCAAAAAAAGGAAAAAAATTTAAAAAATTATATATGTGTCAATTTTCAATAATTGGTAAAACAGAGCATCAATACTATAGATGTGTAAACAAACGAAAAAAATAAATGCAAGGCTGTGCTTGCCTGGAAAAGAAACCTGAGAATCTTAGTAATAATGCAGTGTGACAGGTCACTAACCAAATTATTTTTTTTATTTTTTTTAATTTTCTAAAAAAATGAGTAATGCATGCATGTTTTACAGATCAGATATCCACAGATGATGATGATAATGGCGAAAACATGTATAAGGTAAGACACATATTCTTATGTTTATTTGTCCCCCCCACATTTAACAGTGGGTTTGCCTGCTCCAAAATCACAACTAACAGCGCAGCCAAATGATGTGTAAAGTAATCTACCTAACAATTATTCAACTCATTTTTCTTAATTTAAATTAATTTATTTTATGATGATGATGATGATACTATGATTAAATGACAACAAATAAATGGGCCACTACCCTATAATTAAAGATAAGATGCAACACTTTAAATTAATTTATTACTAATTACATAAGTTGGGCCAAGCAATTAACAGACAGACATTGGGCTAAAATTTGTACGGGTAGCAATTAGATAATTTCTCGTGGGCTTTTTTTCTGAGTGAAAATGGGTCTAATCATTCAATTATCATAGGAAAAAATTCATAAATTGTAAAACGAAATAGAAACAGGGAATAAAAGTTTATACTACATATGAATACAAAAAATTAGTTAACAAACATCATTTACACTTGTATTAAAAATATTAATTATTAATAAAAGCCATAATAACATGTTTTATTGGATTAATTACTACAATTATCAAGTATTTGGCTACAAATTCTCTTCCTACAACCTCTTTCTTTTTTGTTTGCATAAATGGATCACATCTTTACATGTCGTTTTAGCCTATGAACGTTAACCGGGTACCGCTTCTGTGTCCGTGTCGTCGGGAAGAAAATCACCTTATCTTGTTCAGCTGCCTCCCAACTACAAATTAAATGATAAAAAAAAAAAAAAAAAAATTCATCGAGTGTTTTTAACGATCAATCTGGCTTAAAAATCGATCAATTTCGGAGAACATTCCTTAATTGAAATGTGACAGAAAAAAACCTGAATTCGGTGACTAAGCGGTGAAGAAAAACGGAAAGCTCAACCCTAGCAAGCTCGGCACCCGGGCAACGCCGGGGCCCACCACCAAACGGGGTGAACACATTTACCGAGCTGCCTGAATTATTCTGCATATCAAGCACATCAGAGTTAGTTTGTAAATATAAAAAGGAAGTAAATAAATCAATATAATGTATTTAATCACATTTTATATATATAAAAAATAAAAAATAAGATAATGAGATGGGAAATTAGGGCACCTGCCACCTCCATGGATTAAAAGTTCGAGCATCTTTGAAGTGGTGATGGTCCATGTGCACTGCCCGCAGTGAAGCAAACACCTTCCATCCCTTCGGAATCGTATATCCTTAAAAAAAAAAAAAAAAAATTCTTCGTCACAAATAATCGGAAAAAAAGATAAAAAACCGAATGTCGTAATTTTTAAAATTTTACCTTTGATGTTAACATCCGTCATCGCACGTCTAAACACGCCGCTGATTATGTTAGCTACTCGGAGAGTTTCGTTTACCACCTGAAAATTGAAATATAAATTATTAAATTCCGTTAAGTAAGGTAGGCTCGACAAATCGACAAATCGTACATTTATTTACGAATAAATTTGTGTCAACTTACACATTGAGTGAAAGGCATGGACTTGTAATCTTCCCACTGAAGAGGCTCCTTTTCACATTTTCTTGCACTGATTTCAACATGCTCTTCCTGTGTTAAACACGTATTTAACAATATTAATTTCATTCATTAAAACACAATTAATATTTATTAATAATATTTTAAAAAACAAAATATTTGAAGAATATACCATAAGATTATAAATCAGGTCTACGACTGTTAGTTCTGACAGATCAGTGAGATAGGCGTGCATTAGGTTTAACGGAGCTGACGACCATTTAACGTTGTTTGTTCATTTATCTGATTAAAAATAATTAAATAATATCCTGCTCGCTTTGACTATATACTCTGTACTTTTTACTGCAAACTTTTGACCATCCCACTATTTATATTTCTGCCTTCACACATATCTAGACTCCATATATATACTTTAATTAATACTTTGTTTTTTGTCACAATGTGTATTTAAATCATGCTACCAAAACTAGGGTAAATTACGGGTAGCCCATCGGAATAAGTTTAAATTATGAAAAAACCTCTAATGTTTGAGTAATTATAACTATCTATCAACTATGTATAGTTTTACACGTTCGTTCTTATGCTATCAACTTTACCTACTGAATGAGTGTTTTTTTCGCAAGACATATAAAATTTCTAAGACCTGGTTGTAATTACTCAAACTTGAAAGGATTTTTTTAGTAATTTGACACTACTTTAGGGATCTGGCCGTAATTTACGCTTAAAAATTATTCTTGAAAGAGTTTTAAAGAAAATTAAATTAAAAAATTAAATATTAAATATTAAATACAACCTAGCCTTATTAGAAATAAACGACTATGGTAATTATTGACAATAAACTTTAAAATAAACTAAGTACAAATCGGGAATGAAACAATTTGGGAGGATGAGAAATGGGGCATTTTAGTTATTAATGGGTTAAATATAAATAATGCTTAAAACATGTGCACGTGTGAACGTGACTTTTAGGGGTCAGCTATCGTTTTCATGAAATTGACGTTACTCTAATTTCAGAGTGTTTCCAAGAATTTTATAAAATAATTAAATTTTCAAAAAATTAAATAAATAAATAAATTAATTGAGGTTGACAGGTAAGTAAACTTGGCTGTCAATAGAGCATCTCAGTCCCATTCGTGTGGGAGTCTGTGGACGTTTTAAACTCTATCTATTTATATATCAATTAATATTTTATTCATTTTTCCATATTACATAATTTAAAATTTAATTTGGTATATATAAATTAATAAATCAAAATATGAAAGTGGGTGTGTTTAATTTCACTAGCGTGTGGAATGTCGGGGCAGCCCCTAACCCTACAACCATATGCCATGCTTAAATAAAATAAATAATAATAATAATAATATTAATTAATAATTATGGTCCCAAGCTAACATGACAAGTGGGAATAATGTAGGATCATCTCAGATGGGAACTAAATAAAAAATTACTACACCTTACATTAAATTTCAAAGTAGGTAACTTTAATTTGTCCCGTGAGGGACAAAAAAAATTAGTGACGTCACAAAAGGAAAAAAAATATAGCATTATTATTTTCCTTGAAATTAGTATAGATCGATTAATATTTTACTTCACGCTCTAATCCAATTTATTAATTATGTATATATTAAAACATATATAATTAATTAGAATATTACAAAATATTATTATTTTTTGGCTAAAGAAAAAATTGGTTGGATGAGATTTTAGATAAGGAGATGATCCATTTAAGAAATATGGCCACCATACCGGATGCTGGTGGGTGTTATGGGCCCATTCCAAAATGAAAATATACAATATACGATATTTTAAATAAATAAATAAATAATCATAACTATTTATTTAATATAATAAAATAAAATAAAGCGGGAATAAATTACCTTGAGTTGAGCCAAAGCAAGAGGGGTCTCAGTGAGATATTTAACAGCGAGAGTCATAATTGTGGAGGTGGTGTCGTACCCCGCCACCAGCAAAGCAAGCATAAAATCAACAATCTCTTCGTCGGAGAATCCTCCTCCGCCGCCCTCCTCATCAAGCAGCGCCGCCAGCATGTCCTTCTTTCTCTCTCCTCTCTCACTCTCTCTCCTCCTCTCCCCAACAACCAAACTCAACGCCTCCGCCACCTTGCTCCGCGCCTAATTCAATTACAATTAAAATAATTTAAAAAAGAAATGGTAAAAACATAAAAAGAGGAAGGGTAAAAAAGTAAAAAAAGTAAAGAAGAGTGGTACTTGGATAGCCCTTCTGTAAGTGGTAGAGAAAAAGGGCAAAGGGATGGAGAAAAAGCCTTCAATAACTAGCATGTACTCCTTCATCAGATTCTCGGTCCATTCACACGGATCTAAACTCATCAACTGCTTCACTGTTAACTGAAAAGTTATCTGCAAATAAATATTAATTAATAATACTATTTCATGAAAAGAAATAAAAAAAAGCATACTATAGAACCTTCCTGGGTACATTAATACAATCATGACAAAAAAAAAAAACAATAAATAAAGTGAAGAATCAATGGATCATACTACATGCACATGTGTGTGGGTTCAATTCATTAATCATTATGCTTCTCTAAAGCTACTAAAAAAAAACACACAGACCCGCATGTGTGTGTGTGTGTGTGTGTGTGTAGAGAGACAGCTGTGGAAATCCAAGTCATCCGGTTTAATGGTCTTGGTTCTGTGCTCCTAACATGAAATCATCACGCATGCACTCAGGAAAACAAACTCGATTGCTTGCTAACCTGCGCGACTTTATTTCTATTAATTATCCAGTTCTAACTTGCGCGGGGTTTTTTTTAATTGGGAATTACCTTTTTGGCCTCGTCCATGAGAAGGACCCGGCCGGTCCAGGAGTCCATGTTGAGCCGGACAAGCCGGTCTATATCGAGCAGCAAGTGGTCCCTGATGATGGCCGAGTTAGCGAAGCTCATGGTGAGTGAATGCATCCGCTTGTGGAGGTTCCCCCTCATGAGCAGGAGCGAGTGCCGCCCGAGCAAATTCGATATCGAACCGGGGTAGCTCGACTCGAACAGGCGGCCCTCGTTCTGCAGGATGAACCGGTTCGTTTCCGGGTCGGCGGAGAACACGGTCGGCTCGCCGAACACGTGGGTGGTGAAAACGGCGCCGTATTTGGACACCCTGTCGTCGATGAATGGCTCCGGGTTCTCGGTCTTGTAGGCGGAGATCAGCTGGAGTGTTTCTCCGATGAAGGGGAGGCCGGGGTTTCCCGGCGGGAGGCGGCGCCGCCGTGTGGAGGTGGCGCGTAGGAGGAGGTAGATTAGGAATGGGAGCGAGAGTGATATGAGGAGAGGGTAGAGAAACATGGCTACTGAATACTGATAATAATGCACAATCAGTACAAACTTTGTTTACAATCTATTTTCTATATATGAAGAAGAA